GTTTTTGGCTTCTCATGTCTCTTGGGCATGTCAAAAGTGTCAACAGTCACAGGGATGAGGCGGGCACCCCCAAAACGCCAAAAACCAAAAAAATGGGGAAAAAAAAACAAAAAAAAGCGAAAAATAAACCTGGCTCCTAGCACTGTGGTAGACATCAAGCTGGAGTTGGTCTTGTAGCCGTTTCCAATCCTTGTGAGCTGCTTTGCAAACCTTGATGGCCTCTCTTCTGCCCGAAACAAAGATCCTTGTTTGCACCAACAAAACAGCCCTCCAACAGCTGTTGGGCCCTCTGCGTGAAGAGAAGGTAGTAAGAGCGGACCTCAACTGTCCAAGCAAATGCAGCAGCCAAGATTCCATCCAGAATCCCGGCTCGACCTGAATTTTGTTCAAGTCCTGGCACAACAGAACCTTGAACAAACACACTAGACAAGTGACCCTTGACAACCGTGCAGGCTGCAGCCGCAACTCGAACCAAACGGTTTTGGAGCGATGTGCACGTCCCATCAGCCAACAAAAAGGGCGTGCTGTCCACGAGAGGCTATGAAGGGGACAGAGAGGTATTTCCAAGAGCAGACCACAGCGCCCACACCGCTTGTGTTGAGTTCATGAAAGCGACGGCACCATGCAGAACATGCGTGTCAATGCTATAGATATCGATGTGCTTCGGACCCTTTTGGATGCGTTTAATCAATGCCTTGTTCCACTCATGCTGCAGCACAAATCTTCTCAAGCAAATCAAGATAAAATCCAAAATGTGTGATAACGCCCCCATGGGGTTGCACACGCAATTCAAGATTGGCAAAGGTCTCCGACGTCGGGCCACGATATTTGGAGGGAACTACTGCAAACTCAAGGAACGCTACTGCATGAAATCCGGGATAATAGGCAACATACGCTTGAAAGAGAAAAAGTGCCGCAACAAGATGCAACAAGCACCTGTATTCCGGGTTGACGAACTCCTTAAATCCGACAGTAAGAACCAAATAGGGTTTTTTCGCACGCACGACTGCAACCTAGAGCTTTGGCTGCCTGCATGCGCAACAAAAAAGTGACGTCTTAGAAGGGGCAAGCGTCTCTGTCTCACAAGAAGCAGAAGTCCAGGCAGACCCGTGATCAAACGAGCATTGAGTTGCCCCGCCAGTGCAATCTTGGATTTTCGTATTTTTTGGGATGATCTTCGTAACATGTTCCGTGCTGTATTGAAATTGGATGAAACTGCGGCGGCGAAGCCATCGGTACGAGCAGGGTTTCCTGTGGCGCTCCGTATGCTAAAAGGCTTCAAGCATCTCATGCAGACGCGGGTTCGCAAACAAAACACACACATTGATAAAACGAAAGCGTCGCAATGTAGCTAGGCTTCATTTCTTTCAGTTCGGGCTGTCACAAAGGGCTCAGAGACTGGCCATTTTCGATACGACCGGTTGTAGGGAGCCACCGTGCACCGTAAGCGTTGCCCCGGTGCAGCATGAGGTGTGCGGATCCCGGAGCTGAGCTGGCTTTTGTCAGATCAAGTTGCCCGTCCAGGGCTACATCGCGCTGCTCAGCTTCCTCAGCTTCCACTTGTGCTCATGGCTGCGCTGTGCACAATTGTGCAGATAGTCTGAGGCTACTTCTGCGATTTTTTTGCCACGCAAGCTAGCATAAGGAGTTGCAAGAGAGTCTGGGCTTTGTTTGGTATCGTTTTTGTCAATTCGTCATGGACTTGAAGACTGCAGGAGGAGCATGCTGCAATGCTTGGCTTTCTTAAGGTGACACCGCCATTTACGCACAGGCAACTCCGGCCGTATCCGGCCGTCACGAGTCAACTTAGCTCGCTCTCATTTTGTCGTTCTGTGCGTTTTGCACGTGTAGGAGCGCTCCTGGGCCATAAATCCAGATGGCAGTCGAACACACAAGTACAATGCAACGAAGAGTCTTAGCTTGTCAGATTTGTGCATGTGGTGTTCGCTGCGACTGGATCCGTGTGTCAGCAAAGGAATATTGTCAACTATTGGTGTGCACCAGAGTCTCGAGATTGGCTTGGCTGGGGTGTGGGCTGGGGCCCAAGCTGCAAGGTCTCCAGGCCCCTTTGTCGGAAAGGTTGAAGATTAATATCGACGTGCAGGCTCCTTTATTGACTGCACCGAGCGAGAGGCTTCTTTCCATTTCCGTGCCTCTGGGCAGCACAGGTGTCAATTCAGCTTGCCCGACTAAAGTCTGTAGTTTAAGTTGGCGCAACAGGGAAGATTTTAATCCTCGAGGTTACCACTTGCATCAACGACTGATACTTGATGCTTTGGCGCAAAGCACGTCCACTCCTCTTGCAAATCAGTTTCGACTTCGATTTTGTTCACTTTGCCTATCTCCCATTCTCTGTCTCTCTCTCACTTCTCCCTCTCTCCCCCTCTCCCTCTTCTCCTCTCTTCTTGCAGAGCGAGGGCTCTGACCTAATCACCTAATCTAAGCAAGACGCACGTTCCCAATGGGTCCCCCTGTCCGAACTAATTAATCCTTGCAACTGAAGAGCCTGCTCAGTGCGGGATACTGGAAGGTTGCAAAAAACTGAAGATTTCTAGGTTCTGCAGTCCTGCATGAGGAACGAATGCCATGTTTGTTTTCGGGCTTCCTGCGAGTTGAAATGGCCCCGACACGTCAAGACAAGAATGTTGACTGTCGCTATCCGGTGGCGTTCTGGAGGCAGTCACAGCTTTGTAGCTGAGGAAGCTGCAATGAACAAGACTGGACAACAAAGAAGTATGCTTGTCAAAAGGGGCTTCTGCATGATGTTGAGCCATAGCACAAGTTCACACAAAACGCTGCTAATGTATTGACATCCAGCCCTCGCTCTCGAGACTCTCTCATTTTTCGCTTCGGGCCACAAAAATGTCCCCTCGATTTAAGATGCATGCCAAGTTTTTCAGGGAACGGCTGCTTGCCACGAGAGCTTAAGCCATGAATTCAGAGCCGACCCAAACAGATTTTGGTGACTCTTTATTCCAGCTTTGGGAATGAGAACGCCATTGAATGCAAATTGTTCGCAAGTGTGACGTTGTGCAAAGCGTTGACATTCCGCAGCTGAGCTGGTGAATTCCATTTATGCTAAAAGTATCTGCCACCCGCGTGTACAGCAGCCAGAAGGGTTGGCTTGTCTGACAGCAGCGGCCAAAAAAGCTGAAGTGCAGCTGTTTCAATCCGGGCAGCATCGCGCAGAGTGACTGCAGAGGGGACCTGCGCCACATTCCAGGGACATGTCCGTTTACTACGACGCGAGCGCTGGCTGACGCGAGACGGGCAGTTGACTGCATGATTGCTCACAGGCAGCAGCGCAGAAAGTCTGCAAGCATGACCCGGCAAATCTCACGATGTACAGTTGCCAGAGATGAGTTGCCGCAGAAAATTGCCGTCCTAATCGCTTTCAGCTGGAAACGTGCATACACCATGAGACCTGGGTGGCTTGTTTGTGATGGTTTTTTGTGTGCCTTGTATGCGGCGGGCACGTGCTGTGGGCTGCAACAGCTTTAGTAGTGGATTTGTAGCTTTGTAGGTGCGGCTTCACGCTGGTCTTGGCATCATGGCGCCAAAGAAGAGCGCAGCAAAAGCCAGAGCAGGCGAGGTTGGGTAATGCTCTGTGGGATCGCTTTTGCCGGAGCATTCCAGGTTCTACCAAGAAGCCTGCTAGCGCCAAGGCTTGGAGCTGGGTGATCTCAGCTCCAGAAGCATCCAGAACTAGAAGCAAGCCTGTTTACGTTGGTGAGAGGCTCAAAAGCGACCAGCAGCGATGAAGGCATCATCCAGAGCTGGCAGATGCAATGGTCACTTGCTTCCATCTTGGGACCATGCAAGTTGGGCAGGCCTCGCTGAAACGACCTGCAGCAGCAATGAAGGCCTTGAAGCACCTCAGGGTCGTGCACTGCGAGGGGTACAGAAGTCGATTCTGTAGGTAAACAAGGCCAAAGCAGTGGCCGTAGCTCCGGTCCTCAAGGTGAGGCACTCAGCCAGTTCCCATTTCCACTTCGATGATCGTACCACCTCCCACTACATGTGCTTGAGCTAGCAACGTTGTTCTGCACTCGCTGCAGTGACACGAGGTCAAAACAGAACCTGCGTGCAACATGTTACTACACAGTTCGAGCAGCAGGCAGCCTGCGCCATTTGTCGTTAGTTTGCAGGGGACAATGGTGAGCCTCCGAGTGATGCCACTCTGTTCAAAAGCCCCGGCCCAATCAAGCAAAGCCCCCGTTTGTGGCAGTGCTTGCGCCGCCTCTTAAGTTGGAAGCCCCGACCGAAGCCCGAAGCCCCAGAACCCTGCGCTCAAGCGTGGGGTCTGTTTCAGCTGGGCAGACCAAAAGAGGGGTAATGAGGGGTCAGTGCACGCGGGAACAACTACGACTGTCCTGACTGACCGATATCGGCCCTACCTGCATGCTGGGACGCCTTTTGGGTGACATTGTCACAGCCTGGCTGTACTCTGCATGTGTTGGATGATAGCCATCCTCCACCAGCGCGTGCAATCGGCTCATCATGTTCATCACCGGCCCACGAGGGCATGAGGGGGTCTTGAGTGCCTTGGAGGCGGTCCTCGTGCGCGAAGATGCGACGTGCCCAAAAGCTTTGTGCCGGGTGACCCCACATGCAAGATCTCGATAGCCACGCTTGGAAGTCTTCATCCTCTTGGGGTAGCCTTTCGGCTTCGGAAGCTCAAAACTCAGGCTCCGGGACTGCACCTTGGGTGCCCTGGACTGCCTGCGGACGCTGGTCGGACTGACCCAGGCCATTCAGGCTCTTGCCCAGGATCGACGACCAGATCGCTCAGCCGCGGTTGGTTCTCCCAGCATATGTTTGGGCAGGGGAGCTGTGGTCCGCTACTTTCGGACGTAGTTTTTCGGCGGAGTCTTTGCTGCTTCTGCACGGATCTGCTTTGCCTGGCCTTTCCAGCGCATCTATGTCAACCGGCACCTCTTCTGTAGGGAGCAATCCGCTGGCGATGGTGGCGAACTTCATTTTTTGTATTTCCTCCTTCTACCTGCCTTCAGGGTCTCGTCTCCAGCCTTGGGTTGCACTCCCGTGGTGGATGCTGGCGCCTCCTGAGGAGCGTTCTCCAGGACAACGAAGGATTGCGGTTCTGCAAGGTCCCAGTCCAGAAGTTTTGTGACCTCCCTGAGCTATCATGATGTCCGACGCTTCAGCCCAGAACTTGGACCTTGGGCGCAGCTCCCTCAGGAAGCTGTGGACTGTATCAAGACAGGCTCACTCGGGGAACATTCCCATTGGGGCGGGTCTGGGACAAGGAGCGCCCACGAGCCTTTTCAAACGACGGGTGATGTTTCCCCCGTAGAGTGCAGCAATGCCCCGGAACTTGAGGTTACGAGGTGTGCCGCTTTTGACTTCGGCGGACCCTTCCGGGGTGGTGTGTCTGTTCTGTCGTGCCTGCCCTTGAGGTAGTCCCGGTGGAAGAGCTCGCTGTTGTTGCGGTAGCTCTCGATGATTGCTTCACCAGCGTTGCCGCGGTCTCTGCAGGCTCGGGTGTTTACACTGCTGGCACTCCTTGAGGCTGGGTGGAAGGTGGAGGCACTGCTCTCGGAGGAGGAATGGGGCGAGCTTGTTCCGTGGCTTCGTCGCATGCTCTCGAGCCTTAGCCTGATGGGCCTGGTGCCTTGCCCTGCAACTGAGATTGAGTGCGAGGCGTTCTGATCGACTTCAGTATTGCGTGCATCTGGTCATGCTCACTGTCAATGCAAGTGCCCGAAAGTCTCAAATCAAAAGCCGTTCTCGTGTCCGCAAAAGGCATTTCAAGGAGATGTCAGGTCCAAATCAGATATCTCGGCGTCACATCCATTTGCAATCTTTTGACTGGCTAAGTGCCAAAGTTTTGGACTTAAGCGCGCCTAGTTCGCGTGTGCAAGCAAGCCTGGGTGTAATTGTGCGCTTGCCTCTGAAACTAACTGCATTCTGTCTTTCCAGGAGCTTCGTGCCTGGGTGGTGAACTTAGAACGACGCCCCGACAGGCAGCGGCACATCAGAAACACGCTTACTGTGCTAAACACTGCTTGACTTTCTTTTCATGCTAGTGAGCTGCTTTTGCAGATGGAAGCGGGTGGCGACGATGCTCAAGAAGGTTGGAGGGACTTACAAAATATCGATAATATCGCTCCCTCGGCTAGTTCGGGCCGGCAAAGCGGGATTATGTTGGCAAAGCCCCTGCAAGATCAATCTTTTCCTGCCGCCTGTTGACAGAGCTGCAGGAGTTGCCCTGGCTTTCCTTTGAGCGCTTCCTCGCCTCCGATGGGTCGAAAATGACAATCCCCGAAGAGGTGTGAAGCGACTTTATCATTTGGGCATGTCATGGCTGCCTTGCACAGGATATCGCACTCAAGTGGAGCACGTCCAGAAACGCCTGGGTCCTTCTTGCTCCGTCTTCTTTTGTCATCGCAGACTTTTGCTGAGGCCTTGTTTGCCGATTATTTCGAGTGGGTCTTTGAGGCCCCTGCGGCTTCTGTAGCTGTTCGTGCTGACAGCTTGGCATGGTTCTGCAAAGCTTAGCAAGGATGGAAGCCCTTGGATGTGGGCCGCTGATGCCCCAGAAGAGGATGATGACTGGATCTTCCAGGAAGAGGGGCCAGAATTCAGCCGCATCCGCAGGCACTGTTTGAATGTGAGCTGCGGAACGCCGAACATAAGCGGCCCAAGGCTATGTGCGTGATGCACCCGGCTTTGAGAGTCAGCCGCCTCGAACGGGCATCGTCACAAAGAAGTCCACCGGAGAGAAGTTGAAGGCCGCAATTTAGCATGTCTTTGGCATCAGAAGAGGAATTCCGTGTAAAAGGTGCTGATCCCTCATCATGGCGTCCTTGCAAGGATGCGAGAGTTGCAAGTATGCGAGCCGTATCTCTCATTACCGGTATAAACATGAAGCAGCTCAGATGATGCTCTTGGTTCGGCTCGGGTCATATCGGACAGCTCAAAGGCCAATCTACGTCGCACAACATTTTCTTTGAACTGACTACTGACATAGCGATGCGCTAGCAGCCGCGATTGGTGTTGGTTTGTTCGTTGAGAAATTGGCGCGGCGTTTGAAGCTGCCCATGTACAGTACTCCTTTGAAAATGAGACACCTGCTTGCTGCTTGTTGACAGGTGCGTCTGGCGTTTGCGCAGCGTTTCCGTGACGGCCAGGACATCTGCAACTTCAGTTGATTGTAGACCGACTCACAGCAACTCAATGAAATCTTCTTCTACATAAACACGTCCTTGCTGTTGTGGATTTTTCATGAAGGTGTCCAGCTACATGTCGGGCAGCGACGTGCGCACAACTTGCTGTAAGTGCAGGAGCAGTTGATGTCTGGCGGCGAGCGTGGCTGTGCCCACTCACATCTGATCCCAGACTCAATCATTATAACATACTGTGGCAATGTCCAAGTATGCCTGAGTTGTAGTCATGACTTGCTATGAGGCGTCTTTGGCGCCTCGCCGCTGAGCGAGAGCAGCCTTCACTGGTTTTGGAGGAGCTCGTGGCCACCCTAAGACCCTGTCAACCAAATCCAGTCTAGTGTGAATTGCCGACCACGGTAAAAGTAAAGTGCTGTGCGTTTCAGTGCAGGATGGATTTTTAATTCCTTCAGGACGACGTGCACTTAACCTTTGATCGCAATGGCGATTTGGGCAAGATGAAGGGCAAGGTCACTCATGGCAGTTGCAGAGATTCAGTTGCTCCGTCCTTGTTCATTCTGCCACAGGTTTTCACAGACCGATTAGCCCAAGCCCTCCAGCGTGTTCCTTCAGATTTTGCATCTGAACTGCACTTTGATAATAGTGGCACGGATGCACCTTGTGAGAAACAAAGTATACAACTCTGCTTGCTCAGGACGTGCTCTACTTGGGCTGGTCAGGATGGAGAGGTGGGAATTTCAAACACATGCAGGCCCTTCAGCAGCTGAAGTTTCCAGCTCAAAAGCCCGACTTGGGGGTTGCTTTAGAAACTCCTGGCTGCAGGAGGGCGACTACGGGCTGTTGCCGGAAGATCGGATTTTTGTCCAGAAGGTGCTTGCCTTGTCACCGGATCGTGAAATCTATCAGCACCATCATTTATTTGTTGACTGTCGGAGGCGGAGTATGTGTGGACAACGGTTGCATATGTCCTTTCACAGGCAGCATGTCCAGCACCTCCGTGGCTGGTTGTGTTTCTGTGACTAGCAGGCCGGTGCAAAGAAATTGCTTTCCGCAGCCAGCAACTCTGTCAACCAGCCGGTTGACAACTTCATGGCATACGAGGCGAGGGTCAAGCTGGATACTTTCATCGCTGACGCGAGACCGCCTCGGCAAGAGTAGAGGAGAGCGGACTAGCACCTACAACAGCCGCTGGGAGGGGGCCAACTGACCCTCCTGGTCTCCGAACCTGGATCTAAACACCCCAGGCATAAACCTCGGCGGATTGCAGATATGAGTCTGTTGCAGGCCAGCCAGGGGAAGCTGAACTCCTTCGTTTGCCTTGACGAGGGTGACGAGGACTCTGCGAGACTTCACGCAAGCGATTTTGAGTGCCACGTGTGAGACAATGCGGAGGACAGCACATGGGCTGGCGGAATAGTTGATCAGTTTGACTTTCAGGGTGACTCAGACATCAAAAAGCCTGTGCCTAAAGTTACCCGTTGCGGTGCTGTTCCTTGAAAGCCACTCCATATTGCTTGCCGCTTGCCTTACTTGCTTGGCATTACTTAGGTCTGATGGCGGTCACCAAGGTGATGATGCTAACGAGTTCGCAGCATCCTGATCTAGGCTTCGTTTCCTTGCTGAGGGGCAAGGGGCGCGTGCCCATAGTGCCCTGGGAATCAGATGGGTCTGGTCCCGCTGAGCCGCAAAAGTGCGGCCAAGCAGACAACGTCAAAGGAGAGAAACGTTGTTTGCACGTTAACGGTTATGCCCTTGTTTGCTGTCCATGGCCTATGCATGGCCGTGGCCGGAGACTGTTGGGATGGGGTAGCCTTGCAAGGAACTGTGATGAGACTTGAGCAAGCCAGATAGTGGAACAACACTATGCTGTTTTGTTGCATTTTGCTGGTCAGCGTGACCGTGGTGTGCCATATCAGCACTGATGCGAACACGGTCTTCCTTGCGCTGTAGGCTAGGGTAGCGAGTCATTAGACTCAATGGGTCATGATTCTGTGATCTCCGAGCTGCCTCGTCGTGCAGAATCATCCAAAATTGGTCGCAGGCTGTGGTCAGGGTGGCTATCCTCATGGCATGCTTCGTCGCAGAGTGCTGGGTCGGGTTATGTTCACCTCAAGCCAGTCTGAAGCGAACTTTGAATACATGAAATAACTTGACCTGGCCCTCGAACCAACCGAATGACGTCACCGTGCTGTGTTTTCTTCCCGAGGTTCAAGTTGTTCGAGCTGCACTGCTTGGAGCGCTTCCTTGCGGGGATTGCCGCCCAAATTCGTGCTGATCTTCTTTAAACAATGCTTTTCAGGCACACACACACATATGATTGGCACAGGAACAGACACAGTCGTGAGCGTTTGACATCCCTGGAGTTGTGAACCGGATTTGTGGTAAATACTGTCGGTCACCAAAAACCATTTTTAGTGATTCTGGAGTGATTCCTTAGTGCTTGGAAGTAGTGATTTAAAACGATGCTTTTGGGGCCTAATGATGGATGGAGCTCTTTTGGAGTGGTGGCTTTTGGGGCTAGTGATGGGATGGCCGCACGGTAGAAGTTCATGTTGCCGATGGATTACTAGTAGTAGTAGTAGTAGTAGAAGTAGTAGTAGTAGTAGAAGTAGTAGTAGTAGTAGTACTTCTACTACTACCACTACTACCATTATTACTACTACTTTCACTACTACTATTACTAATTACTACTACTGCCACTACTAATTCCTCATAATTTTTTGTAAATGACTAACTGAAGCAGCAGCAGTAGCAGTAGTGATAGTCGATAGTTGTTGACGCATCCGCTACCACCTACCAAGTAATTAAGTAACAATGGATACAAGTGCCAAACGTGACAAGACTCGACTCAACGCACTCACAGTCGTCAATGGTCACTAGTCTAGTCACTAGTCTAAGATCGCAAAGTTACCGAAAGGTCCTGAAGCCACTGCGCATTTTTGTTGTGAGCTAGAGCTGTGCCATTCCGAAATCACCAGGAAATCGCTTCATGTCTGGGAGCTGAAGCCCGCGCCACTCCGGAATCACTAGGAAACCACTCTGCGTTTCGGAGCTCAAGCACGCACCACTCCGAAATCACTAGGAAATCACTAGCTCAAACGCGCACCACTCCGAAATCATTTCGGAGTGATTTCGGAATGATTTTGGAGTGATTTCGCAGTGATTTCGGAATGGTTCCCTCTAGCTTTCCTCAAAAAACCACTATTCCCTGAGAGTGGAGTGATTTCGGAGTGATTTTGGAGTGCTTCTGGAATGATTTCGGAGGAGTTCCTCGGAAGCCTCTAGATTTCCTCAACAAACCACTATTCCCTGAGAGTGGAGTGATTTCGGAGTGATTTGGGAGTGCTTTTGGAATGATTTCGGAGGAGTTCCTCGGAAGCCTCTAGATTTCATCAAAAAAAAACATTATTCCCTGAGAGTGGAGTGATTTCGGAGTGATTTTGGAATGATGTCGGAGTGATTTCGGAATGATATTGGAGTGATTTCGGAGTGATTTCGGAATGGTTCCCTCTAGCCTTCCTCAAAAAACCACTACTCCCTGAGAGTGGAGAGATTTCGGAGTGATTTTGGAGTACTTTTGGAATGATTTCGGAGGAGTTCCTCGGAAGCCTCTAGATTTCATCAAAAAACACGTGGAGTGATTTCGGAGTGATTTTGGAGTGATTTCGGAGTGATTTCGGAGTGATTTCGGAGTGATTTTGGAATGATTTTGGAGTGATTTCGGAGTGGTCGGAGTGGTTCCCTCTAGCTTTCCTCAAAAAGCCACTATTCCCTGAGAGCGGAGTGATTTCGGAGTGCTTCGTTCGGAGTGATTTCGGAGTGGCGCGGGTTTGAGCTAGTGATTTCCTAGTGATTTCGGAGTGACGGATTTTCCATTTCCAGACTTTTCGGATTCTCGGAAATACCTGTAGCCCCAGAAACGAGGCCAAATCACCCCCAAGTCTGCACGGCGCAACGCGCACACAGATCTTTGACTCTGGGGCCTGGGGCTACAGCGCAGTTTGCCAGGATGTCAGGGCCATCTTCCTCTTGGAGACTGGGTCGTCGTCGGAAATTTTGTCACAACCAACCAACCAACCAATTCTTCACGGGTGGAATGATTCTGAATTGCTTTCGGAATGATTTATCAGGATTCGTGAAGTGATTTTGTAGTGTTTTCCGTTTCGGTGGGGGCTGCCCGATTAGCGGGACCAACGTGGTCAGTTGTGTGGAAGGGATTGGCGGGTGCAGGTGAATCACGCTCCCGGTCCGAAGCAGGGTTGGGCAGTATTCAATACTCTCCAGCAAACTTTAGCGCCCACTTCACATGAACCATGAATATTGAATCTTCATGATTCACGTGAAGTGGGGATAACTGCTAGCGGGGAAAGGGTAGCTTAGAAATCACCAAGGAAAACACTAGCAGGAAAACACGGGCTACCAAATCACTAGGAAAGCACTAGCAGGAAAACACGGGCTACCAAATCACCAAGGAAATCACTAGCAGCAAAACACGGGCTATCAAAGCACTATCCTCAAGAACTCCGAAATCACTCCCAAACCACTAAAAAATAAAATCAGGTCCCCACAGTATTTACCACAGAGCGATGATCATAACCCTGGAGTTCAAGCTGTTGGGACTCTGCGCCGAACCTCACCGCCGAATGCTAACGAAGATTGCAGGCTTCACAAGAGGAAGCGAGTCAGCAGCAGGGTTTGAGCGCAGCAATGGCGCTCAGCGTCAACTTCTGCCAGGCAGGAGCCGTAGCTTGCAAGAAGTCCCACGTGCTCATGAAACAGCCACCGGTTTTGCAAGGCTAGCGCCAGTGTGAAGGGCATGTCGTTCTATGCTACGAAGCCTTGGGTGCTGGATTGGCCAGTGTCTCCAGCTTCTTACAGCCGTGCCTGGATGCAAAGGTGCTGCCAATGTATGGAATTACATCGGCAGGTGCTTGGTCAAGGAGCTAGAGGTGCCATCATGCGGTTTCTGGTAAGTTTGTTTTTTGCGCCGTCGGCACTCATGTGTGCAATGAAGGTCCCAGCGATGTGTGCGGTTTTCGTGACGGAGGGGATCATTGTGGCGTCTGCGGATACGTATGCCCTTGCCCCAGCTTTAAGCCAATGTTTACTTGGGACGCAACCTGCAAGTAAGATCCACGTGTACGCTAATTTCGAGATGACTCGTCTGTTCCAGGACTTGCGTGCTTTGTCGCGCCCGTGCTTGATTGCTTGCAGCTTGCCGTAGTGTCAGGCTCACGACGCTGAAATTCACCACATTGTTGCGCATGCGACCCATCCATACCTTTTGACTTCTTCAGAAGATGACTCGATCAAGTGATGGCCTCAACCCATGCTGCTAGGGCATGAAAATGGCTGCGAATGTTTCAATATTTGTGTCACAAGGCTTTGGGACTACCGCAACTGGCAACGCGTAAAGGCTCGTCATGTTGTCTGCAGTTGTGGTGGCTTCTAGCCGCTTGCAGGTGTTCCTTCATGCCGGCGTGCAGATGTGCAGCTTCAATCCCAAGGCTTGTCGAGAACGCGTTTCAACCTGTCATGTTTTTTGGGTTATCATGGCTTGACCCGCTGCATTTTGCAACCAAGCCAGGACTTGGCCACTGCCGGAGTCAAGCAGCCGCCATAAATGCCATGTCATGACGATTGAGGGAGTCACGCGGCACCTCTCGTTAACATATTCTGCTGTCATCATCCACGTTAGGCAAATACCATTCGTTGTCCTTTGCGAAACAGTTGCAATCAACGTCCCGGTGGGATTTTTCGGGGCACTGCCCGTGAGATGTTTGCAAGACCCATCTCACGGTAACAAGGGTGAGTGCACAGGTGTTTGTCCCAAGATTGCAGCCGCGCGGGGTATGAACGCTGTGAGGGATGTGGTTGCCTCTCACCGCCAAGTGGATTCACACCTGCGAAGCAAAGTGGGGAGCCGATGGAATACCTTGCTGGCCAGGCTTGTTATGGACACATGTGGCTATCATTAAAGTGCTGGGCAGTTTGGCGTAAACGGCGCGAGCCTGCTGTGGCAGGATGCAGATTCCTTCGCGTCATGTTCGGGCGACGGCTCGATCAAGCTATGGAGTGCAACAGGTGGACGGCAATTTTTCATCGTCAAAATCCTGCCGCAAGTTGTTGCAAGGTGTGGAGAAATCTGTTTTGACCGGGCATGATGGTGGCGTGACATCTGTGGAGTAGCCCTGGCCTGCATTTATGCTTTTCTTGTTGAGCGGCAAGCTGCGGCTGAGTCGTTTTCCCGACGAGATTATGATTCACGCCAGGATTATTGTTATTATTTCAATGCTCTTGCCATTGTCCGTGTGGTCCGCAATCTTACTACTACTGGTGATAATGATGATGATGATGATGATGTTATTGTTGTTGTTGTTGCTGATGATGATGACGACGATCATGATGACGATGACGAAGATGATGTCGTTGATGCTACTTGAAATCCTTCTGTTCGCATTTTTAATTGGTAAACAGGTATTGGCTTGGCGCCCCCGCGAAAAGTATCATTTCGTCGCGCAAGCCTCAATGTTCCGCGGAGTCGTGCGAAAGTGAAAAAATCCAGATAGATGCTGGTAGTAGTCGTAATGATGATCTTTGCATTGCGCAGCAATGACCGAGGTCACAGGATGGCGAAACCATAGTTTGGGCTGAAGGCAGATGTGTCGCTGTGGTAAAGGGCCGCGCGGCCAGATATTCAGCTCCGTTCCTCCTCACCACCAGTGAGGAGCTTCCTCGTGTTTGGTTTGGAATGCGTGCCACATCAGCCCCAGCATGGAACAATAAGTTGCTCGAATCTGCGTTTCGCCGAGAGGACGGGGCGGGGCAGTGAGGAGCTATCACGTGCCAAGCTTTCGCTTGAAGGCCTGCGCCATTCTTCGGTCAAGAGTGACTTACAACAGCACTGCGTTCAGTTCTCCTTCAGCCTTGGTCGTGGCGGCATTCGCTGTCTTGCCGCGGGCAACGCTGTCCCGGCCCTAGCAAAAGAATGCTTAGCCTGCAACGCAAAATTAAAGTCCAATGTTGGCTAAGTGGTTGAGGTGGGCATCGGATACGACGATGGATTTGTAGCGTTGTGTCAGCGCACCAAGGCTTGGCAAGGGGCGCTTGGGCCCGGAGTTGCCACCGTGACTGATCATCAGGCACGGTCCGTGTCGCTGCGTCCGGAGGGCAGGGTTTTGCTTGTACGGCCCTCAATTATTTCAGACATAGTGGATGCAATCACATGTCCAGCGTGTTCCCATTTCAGGCTTGTGCAAACGGGCTGCAAGTTGCAGAAATCCGCGGTCATGAAGAAATCCTCAGGTTTCAGGACTCTGAGTGCATGCCTTCTGGCATATTCCATTTGTAGCTGCCGCGCCGTTGTAATGCCGCTTTCCAGGATATGGATGTGGAAAAGCTTCGGCCTCATCAAGTTCAATATTGCCCAGAAGGCAGATCTGCTGTCCAATTCGGCACCTTTGGATTGGCTTCGTCGCCAGGTTGCATGTTTGCGATATGTGGTGAGGGCAAACTCGTTGTGCTTTCCGAGGCAGCGCAAACATGTTTGTCATTGCCGGGCTTTTCGTTTCTCCAGCTGCCGCGATAGGCTGTTTTTCGCGAGGCATTGGAAAAGAAGATGGAAGGCGAAGCCTTGCAGGCAAGAGTTGCGGCCTACCTCCTGCGTTCATTGAGTGATCCTTCCGCCTGTCCACGCAGTTTGCGTGGGGAAACTCTGGCGCGTTCGCTGCTCTTCGTGGCAGCAGCGTGGTTTCCTGTAGGCCAGTGTAGGAATGTCATGTGCCCCGGCACGTCCATGCCGGAAAACACCGGAAACACATCTTTCCTCCAGCAAAACAGCTTCGATGTTGCTTGTTTTCATTTCAGGATTTCAGTTTGAAGTACCGCGTCGCCGCGTCCTTTTCCGTGGAAGGCCTTCATGGAGGCAGCGTTCATGGTTTTGCAGTGCTCTAGTTTTTGTTGCGTCATTGTGGGATGGAAGTGACAGAAATCATTGTACTGGCTGTGTCAGGCAAATTGCTGGGGCTCCAAGGTGCTGCTCAGCTTGAATTCTACGACTGGCGCCAGCCCCCCCCCCCCCATGTGTGAGCTTCAGGAGGACGAGGTGGGCAAGGTTGCGATGTTGTAATGTCCGCGTGTGAAAGGTGTCAAGTATTGTTCAAGATCGACGTTCTGGCCATAGGATTGAGTTGGTTGGAGCCTGAGCCGCTCTGACGGAGTTGCGTTTGTTTTTTTACGAAGCCCTTGGATCCGTCCACTCCGAGCCCATGCTCTTCGTTGCTCTTCGCTTTCAGGTCCGCAATTGGCTTGATGATTGTCACGTCAACCTCTCTCCTGCGCCTGACCTCCAGCACGTGACTACCGCCAAAGTTTTGGAGTTTGACGTTAAGGCCATGGCGAGGGAGGAAGTCGTGGGCATGTTCCAAGATGCTTTGATAGGATGCTGCGTGTTCCTGGCAAGGTCGTCAGCTGCTTGTGGCTGGAACATGTCAATATGTATCTGGCCGTTGCAGCGGGCACGGGCTATGAGCTCGTGGCGGTCTCGGCGAAGGCAGCGAGCTAGACTTGCGCTTTCCCCTGCACGCAATAAAGACTTCCTCGGTGTCAATCCACAAAGCAAGGGGGATGCCCCACACCTGAAAAGTGGGGGGGAGGGCATCCAAGAGGTTCTTCAGACTGTGCTGATATGGTTTTGTGATGCTGGAACCCTGTACCTGCAAGGATAGCCATGTTACAGCACCCTCAATTTGTTGCTTCCATGCTGGCCCAGATGACTAAGGCGGGGCGTGAGGATGGATGTGGTTTTGACATGATGGCTCGGAGCAGTGAACGCAAGGGTGATTTATTCGAACGAATGTCGTGGTGGTGGTGGTGGTGGTGGTGGTGGTGGTGGTATTGCTGTTTGTTGCCTCCCCCTCCGAACCTTGTTGGATTATCACTCGGAAGCCTCCTCCTCTCTCTGAACCTTATTGGAATCTCATTCGGAACTCACCTTATTGGAGTATCATTCGGAAGCCTCCCCCCCTCCAAACCTTATTGGATGATGATTGGGAAGCCTCCCCCCCTCCTCCGAACCTTTTTGGATCATCATTCGGAAGCCTCCCCCTCCTCTTCGAACCCTGATTGGATTATCATTCGGAAGCCCCGCCCCCCCTCCGAACCTTATTGGATCATCATCCGGGAGCCCCCCGCCCCTCAAAACCTTAATCATTCGGAAGCCTCCCGCCCCCTCCGAACCTTATTAGATTATCATTTGGAAGCCTGCCTCCCCCTGAACCTTATTGGTCGATTATCATTCGGAAGCCTCCCCCCCCACCCCTCCGAATTTTATTGGATTCTCATTTGGAAGCCTCCCCCCCTCTGAAATTTATTGCACTATCATTCAAAAGCCTTATTAGATCATCCTTCGGAACCCCCTTTCCAAACCTTATTGGAATATGATTCGGAAGCCTGCCCATTCGGAAGCCTGCCCCCCGAACCTTATTGGATTATCATTCGGAAGTCTCCCCCTCCCCCCCTCCGAAATTTCTTGGATTATCATTCGGAAGCCTCCCCCCCCCCGCCTCCGAACCTTATGCGATGAGCATTCAGAAGCCTTCCAGCGCCCCTCCGAACCTTAGTGGATTATCATTCGGAAGCCTCCCCCCCTCTCCTCCGAACCATATTGGATTATGATTCGAAGCCTGAAGCCTGCCCCTCCCGAATTTTATTGGGCTATCATTTGGACGCCTCCCGCCGTCCGAACCTTGTTGGATTATCATTCGCAAGCCTCCGCCCCCCCGTCCGAACCTTATTGGACCTTTCGGGAGCCCCCGCCCCTTCCAACCCTTTGCTATCATTCAGAATTCCTCCCCCCTCCTCCGAATCTTACTGGATTATCATTCGGAAGCATCCCCCCGCACCTTATTGGATTATCCTCCCCCCTCCCTTCCGAACCTTACTGGAATAACATTCGGAAGCCTCCCCCGAACCTTATTGGATAATCATTCGGAAACCTCCCCCCCCCTCCGAACCTCATTGGAGTATCATTCGGAAGCTTCCCCCCTTGGGAAGATTATTTGATCAGGCCTTAAACTCCTGAAGTGCACTGCCTGGCCATCCTTCCACTCTTTAACAAGGCCTCGCAAGGATGCCGCACAGAGCCTGCAGGTGACTGCTGCCTGAGAGCAAGCCCTTGCCTGTTGCTGTCATGAAGGTCAGGCTTGGGGGGCCTGGGGTGGGGTTGGGTCATCCGTAGAGAAGATACGTGGCAGAAATCACACCATACACAGGAGCAAGGGCACAAACGAACGACTCCAACACAAACACTAAGAAGAACAAGACAGAACAACGAACACAAAAACAGCAGAAGCATGCCTCTTCTTCAGAGCCTGGAAAAAGAGCTCTCCTACAGAGCCTGGGCAACAGCACAGCAGGAAAGGCTTTTTTCGACAAAGCCTATGTCAGCACAGCAGCGAAAGGTTTTTTGTTGATAGGGTTGAGGACTTAAGCCATCAAGTTTCAGCTCACGAGGTGTTAAGCTGTCAAGGATTAAGTGCTCTTTCCCATCTCAGCGCAACACTGACATAGTCAGATTACTTTTACCTGCCAACTGTGTCCACTAAAGACCACGTCATGGGTTCCAAGACTTGCGTTTTGCCTCCCCAAATCAAAATGAGATGGTCGTCCAAGATGTTTTCTCTTGCCTCTTATACCGAAAACAAGAAGATTCATTGCAATGCTATCCCTCCCCAACATGAACCCCAAAGCGTCTTTTTAGACGTGGCCCCCACCCTTCCAAAATCAAAAGCCAACCACCCCCAAATCAAACGCAAAACCTTCTTGGTTGCGTTCATTCCAAAAAATGTTCATACGGTTTTTGGAATGGTTTTGGGGTCGTCCTTCAAAGATCCAGCGAAGGGTCATGAATGTGGTCCTCAAGTGGTGCTTGCCTGCGTGGTCTGTGGCCTTAATGGTGGACCCAAATGGCGCGGGGATGTGGTACCGTGGTACCTAGCGTTGGTGCCTGGATCCCTCTGCCATAGCTCTTTACACAAAGAAGTACAGAGATAAATCGACGATATGAAGGGTTGAAAGAATAACAAAAGAAGCATGCCCATAACCACCGTAAGCGCAGCAGTATGCATATCAGTATTATGTATATCCGCTCTGCCAGGCCTAAATTTTGTTTACTCTACACCTCCCTCGCCCAGTGCTTGGTACCACGTTTCCGTGGCTGCGTCCTGGGAGGCCACCTGTTGCAAAGGGACAGTAGGTATGTGAGCAGCTTGGGGCAATTGCATGCAATTGCTTACTCAAGACATCATATAGGCTAAGAGTAAATCCCTCAATAGAGAATGCGCTCTAAACGTCCCTGAGCTGGCCTTGGACTAATGGGGATGCTATAAAATTAGATTAGAACTCCTCACACACTTGGGTTGATGGTGCGGCGTTTGGACTGATGGGGCCAAGCTTGGACTAATGAAAAGGACCGTTGAATCGTTAGAGCTCTCGAACATGGATGCTCTTACAGCCTCCTCGATCCCAGGCATTTCGCTGGTCTGAAAATAGTTGATCGGCATACGTGTACAAGCCCCATGTGCTGAGTAGAAGAGCTTTGGGGGTGTTCTCTTGTGAACAACAGCTTCGCCAAAGATCAGATTCAACTTGCTTCCTCGGGGCGGTGGGACGGGTTTAGTCTCTATCGGGCTACCGCCGACATGTTTGCATTAAATTGGTTCCTAGTACGGGCGCTCGGCGTGCTGAGTGCTGATGCATGTCGAATTTTTCTCTTTATAAAATGAGTTGGTTTGCCTGCTTGGCAGATTTTTGCACGGAAAGCTCAGTTGTCTTTCAAGTGTCGCGAGTAGGGATGCTGGAGGTTCCGTGCACTCAAGGTCTAAATTTCTTTTGATTCCAGAATACAAGACACACAACCCGTTGAAGGTTGACTGGAGCCTTCCTTCTGCTGACGGCGCACAAGCCTTGCAGTCCTCTGTAGACAGCAATTTCACCGCAACGCCCGCGAAACATTCTGGATCATTGCGACTCAGAGGATCCATGCCGCTTCATCATGTGATGTGTTGCTTTTTGTCCGCTTGGACTTTTGGAGCAGCCACAGCGCACGACAACAACGGTTCTTGCCGCCCTAAGTCCTACGTATCCCTACATGACAGTGACAGAGTCAATCAGCGAGCCGCTCCCGTTTGGCAGCAGTTTCCGCAGCTGCCGTTCTTGCCTCAGATGCCGAGGTTTTAGTGGGTGTTCAGGATTTGCCGCCAGTGACTCTGCAACCGCACTGTTCAAGGTTGGCCTGGATGACGAGCACGAGAGCAGGAGGTGTCCGAAAGCTCCCAAGGAATGCTCTTTTGATTTCCGCAACGTAAGGTTGCTGGCTTGGGCTTCGACATTTGCTGAGACTAGGCATTTTGTGAGCGATGGCAGTGGTGGATTGAAATAATGCAGAATGTGTCATCAACTTTCAGGCGCTGTGCCTACTGTGCCTTCTGCCCAAGAAGAGGATCGAAGCCAGGTGTAGGCATCAACTCGCTGATCCCTGCTGCTCGCAGGCGCCCGACTCACCCAGTGGCGGTTGTTTACATTACGAGGTACCAGCCCAGCTTAATCAGATGTCCAGCCACATGCGTCCTGGCAACCTTGCAGGACAGGCAGCATGCCGTGGATGAGGTTGCCTTGGAGGGTCGATGCCTGAAATGCTGAGTTTGAAACTAGTTGGATTGTTTCTAGCTCTTTTCAAGCATTTCGCTGGCAATGGCTAATCATTCGAGGTGGCGACGGTGATGCAGTCTACTTCCAAAGAGTCCAGTTTGGCCCTCAAGGTTCAAGCTACTCGCGCTGATGCTACGGCGGGATTTACAGACAGGCCTGGTTCCCGTGCCGCCCAGCTCGGCGTTCGAAAGGGTGACGAGGTGTTGCAGGCCGGATGCGTGCACCACATGGGGGGTCCGCTCCCTGTTGGTTTTCGCTGCTGCGAGGTCAATCTTGTCGATCCCGAGATCCTGTTCTGGCGCCCAGCAGAGCAGATCCTTCCCGCCATAGTCGGTCCGTGCCTGACGTGAGCTGCACCAATGCTGGTTGAAGCCGTACCTTTCTGACCTTGGAAGCAGCAGCTGAGGCCCTGTGATGCTCAAGTGGCGGAGAAAACCAGAGAAGCCTGGAGAGCGCACCAGGACAAGCTTGTCCTGTTTCAATTGCTTGGGGTCTGCATCCTGCTACCTCGCTCCGCAGTGTCAGGATTAATTCGAAGCCTGTAAAGCTGCTATGGCATGCTCGACGCTCGGGAAGCTTCGTGGTTTTTTTCAGGGGTGAACCCTGTTTTTGGAGTCTCTCAAGTGAGCCAGGACGATGAGGATGAGCTGGAAGACGTTTTGCTCGCATGATTCGAAATGATTCACCCTTGACAGCAGAACAAGAATTTCACATGCAGTTGTCAGCGCTCTTGCCAGGCAGTTCCAGAATATCCCAAATCCCGTGCTCAAACTCTCGGGGATGGCGAGTGGAAGTGTCCTCAGAGATGGGAATGTGCAAGCCATGTGTGATTCGTTGCTGTTCCAGGCTTTGCGGTTCTTGCGACGCAAAAAACTTCGATGTGCAGGAGCTAGAAGCTCGGTCAAAGTGCTTGCCAGTTGTACGTTAGTCGGAAGTGTACACTTTGCTTTCGTTTTTTTTGACAGCTCTCCAGGCATTGCCGTCGCTGCGGCCTCCGCGACTCGCGCCTGCCGCTGCCTTTGCAGCGCCAAAGCAGCGAAGCATCAAAGCAAGCAAAGCATCGAAAGCGGATCCGCTTTGCTCCCAGGCCGAAGCGGCCTGGTCCTGCACCGCAGCGGCATGCGGACCTGATGAAGAGGTGAGTTTTCACATCGGGCATGCCACCAAAAGCCACCCGTTTCTTGCGGAATTGATGTTCATGCCAGCGCCTGCAGTGTTGCCGCCGTCTCTTTCGGCCGTCCGGGTGTTGACAAGGAGGACTGCAAAATTCGCAGCATCAGTAGTTCACTGATGTGATGGGCGTTTCGGATTGAGTGGAGGCAGTGACGCATGCAGCAGCTGTCCCAGCCTTACGAGCTTCGTGTGTGTTGTTACTAGACACAACTGCCGCTGAACCGCCGAGTGATTCCTGAGGAAGGCTGAACATTGCACCGCGTGCAACTTTATCTCTACAAAGGTGAGAGATGCTTAGTCAGTTTGGCTGGTTGCCGCCTTCAACGTAGGCCGCTTTTTGAGTTCCAAGAGAGATTCTGCCGAGCTTGCCATCCTGGCAGCATTCGGTGCTGTAGAGAATTTCTCTTGTGACTCCGCTGTCCAAAGCCCTGACTGTGAATTCGGACTGAATCATGCAGCATTTGCATCTCAGCTGCAGCATGCGCAGAGTTACTTCTTTGCATTTCCACTGTCCCCTGTACGCAGCATTCATTTCCATGATCTTCGAATGTCCCGATGCAGCGTCGCAGTGTCTCAGCTCTACCCAGTTAAGGGCGACATGCGTTGCCTGAGAGAGGGCCACCCAAGACAAAACCAGTGGGGCTGTCTAAGACCTCATCATTCTTTCCTTTCTCTTCCCTGACTTCTTTTGATGGAAATGAGCGGCTCTTCGTTGGAGGTGCGGGATGAATCGCATCGAGAGCTGTCTTTCTTTGGGTCTTCGCGAGGCATCCTGCGAGCTCTTGGAGGCGAGAGCCATGAGCTGCCATGAGCTCCCGTCGGTATCCAAGGGCTTGCACGCTTCTTCGCACGGTAGATAGTTGAACTGGATTGACAAGCCACAGAGGGGGACTTGAGCAATCTGTCATCAGCAGCCACTTATTGGGATTTCTGCTGAGTTCAAGACTTCACAAGTGTTTGTTTCAAGGTCCAGATGCCTGTGACGCTGCATTGCTGGTTGTTGACTCAGAAAGGGACACTGGTTCCTAGCGTGCATGCGCCAGAGCATTGACAGAGAACCTGAGTGAGGTAATGCTGAACCACAAAGTAATAAGTAATAGTAAACTATGGCTTTGAGAGACCAGTTGTGCAAAGGCATGGGCCAATGCGTGCTTGCAAAGTCACAGTGACGAACCAGCTCCTACTTTGGAGGTCTGGTTTGCTCTTGCAACAGCCATACCATTTTTGCTTTGCTTTCGCCTAGGTACAGGATATCTACTGCACTTGGTTCTGGCACGTACTGCCCTGGCAGGCGATCGTTGACACGGATTCAGTGTCAATGCTTTGCAGGATATTCGGACTGGGCGATCCAGATCAAGGCTGGGGTGCTTAAAATTCTGGCTGTGCGCGCACGCGTGCTTCGAAAGGGGGAGGAATTCTTGTACACGGCACTAATGCAGATGCAGTTTCACTCCGCAACCTCTTTGCAGTCCAGCGATCACGAACCTGCACAGAAACGTCGTTCTGCACGTAGGTGCCCTGCTCTGTGCTTTACAGAACAGGTGTGCGAGGCCAGCAGGCCTCGCAGCGACGGCGACGAACTGCGGAGATACTCAATGGATTTCGGGCAGGCTCGCTGAATTGGTTGTGAAATGGCTTGAAGCTCTTTCGGATTTGCTTGGCAAGGCCTAATAGAGCCGGCTGTTGCCGAGTTGGGCGGCCCGGCGGCAGTGTGGAACCCAGCTTTTGAATGCCTCTGATACATAATTACATATTCAGCAGAAGAGTTACGTCGACAGCTCTGAACTGAGGCGCGCAGCATTGTGGCTGCCACTCTCGTCATTGCGGTAGAGGCCATGACCGCGTCTGAATGTCATGTACGCTACAAATACCTTGAGGTATGTCGGGAGCTAGATCGATCATCCATAGTACGTTCTGATGTTGTCGCATATATTAATAGTTCAAAGCCATGCAAGCAGATCAAGCAGTGATGATGACCTTGGCATCTTTGAAGGCAGCCGCCAAGGAAGAGGCTATCAAGGTCATCGTGGGCCTGGAGCAGTCCAAGCAGGCTCAGTTGCATAACATTGCTGGGAGCACCAGTATGCCACACCGTGCCCTTCTCCAGGCCGAACTGGCGCAAATCATCCAGCAGCTTGATTTCATATGGCCAGATGTTGCAGTATGAGAGCACACTTCTGCGTTCATGAGCGAGATTACGCAATGCTTCAGTGTTTTAGCACAGCAAGACAAGTACGCCAGTCAGGAGTCAGTAGTAGATCATCCGAGCTCTTCAAAAATATGGCCTCCCCATTACCGACCAAAAAACAACATCCAGAGACTCAGGATTTACATCCAGTTTGTCTTTGTGCCCCAAAAATGTGGCCCAAAACGGTTTCTTTGTTTTTCCCCAGATAGCTTTAGCTATTAGGGGTTCTAGCTAAATAAGGGGATGTGCTGTGGCCAACAACGCCGCAGGGGTTGCAGCTGCATGCAGTCGGCATGCAGGCGGCATGCAGGCGGCGTGCAGGTAAAAGCGCCCTGGACCCGCCAAAATTGCCATCC